CAAGATAAAAAGCAAAGGGTTTTGCACACAGTTTGACCTCAAGTCAATCATATTTGTTCCTTCACTCTCCTACTATGAGTCAGGAAATTCTACATGTCATACGCTGCTGATACAAAGATAAACACTATGCATTTCTTGTCTTCCAGAAGTTCACAGCCCAGTTGAATAAGCATGTAAACAAAATAATCATAGGACAATGATAGTGCTATTACTGAAGGCTGTATAAAGTACTCTACTACATAAGAGGACTCACTAGCTGTGCCCACACAGGGGTGGAGTCTCAGAGGTTTAACAGAAGATAAGAGAGCACAGAGTGTGAAGGTCCATTGGGGTTGACACCAAAGGCAGGAATAGCAAGAAATTATTACTCTGAAAAGTTAAACCAGATCACAAAGGGCCTTGTATATCCTGCAAATGGATTAGACTTTATCTGGGAGGTCATTGGGAGCAACCTTAGAAGAAGTGACAAAATCTGATTTACATTTCTACTCCCAATGGCAATGTGAAAGATGGATTGCAGAAAAAGTGAGGCTAAAGACAGGAAAGCCTTTTAGGGGGCTATTTCAAAAGCTCAGAAGAGATGACAAGCATCTAAGGGAGAACCCTGAGGCAATGGCAAATGAGGATTAGGAGAAGAAAACTAATCCCAGTCATGTTTGAAAAGTAGGTGACACATGACTAGGTGACCAATTAGATGAGAAGTAAAACATAGAACTGGGGACAATTCCACAGTTTCTGGTTTAACCAGTGAGGTAGCTTGTGGTGCCATTAACTGAAGTAGACAATGTAGAAGGAAAAGCAGATTTAGAGAAACCAATAAAAATTAACTCGGTTGGAGATATTTGGGGTTTGAGGTAGGAATACTTGGTTGTTCATTAGAAATATTGTGTTGATTAGGTAAAATATTTGAGCAGGGTACATATTAGTATAGGAGTAGGTGACAGCCTAATTACTGGGAACTGATGAGTTGGCCCAATACACCTGCGTGATAAATCAACCACAGCCCTGTTGGTAACTGTGGCATTATAGTGGTTTTATAGAGATGTGTTCTCAGCACTCTCCCCTTTGAATGACAGAATTTCTGAGGATGGCAATACTTTAGGTACTACTGTTTAAACTTTAGTGTGTACAAGAACATCCAGTAAGCTTGCTAGAATGAACAGGCCTAGACTCCATGCCCCCCCCCCCCCAAAAAAAAACTTTGACTCTGGTGTTATGGAAGGGGACTCAGAAATCTGTATGTTTAAAAAAGCAAGTCCCGGTGTTTCTTGTATATAATAAATTTTGAGTTCTTTTTGAAGATCTATTTTTTTTTTTAAGAAGAAAAAAGTAATCAGAATTTTACATATGTGAATTTTGCCTCAAAAAGTAGCATGTGTTTAACTTGAATCAGATTGTTTCTTTTGGTTTTAAAGTTCATGATTTTAGTCACATCCTAGAGATGATTTTTTTCTGGAAAAATTTATAACAAATACATTTGCCTGCTTTCCATTGTAACAGTGTATTTCCCTATGCTTAACAAGGGAAAAAATCTAAATTTAAAAACAAAATAAGCAGTGAAAAGCAACTGGTTTACCAATTTGAAAATGACTAATTATAATGTTGGAGTCATTATGCTTAAAGGGAAGGGTCCTGGACTGAAATTCAAAAACCTGTCGTACTTGACATTAGTACTGACTTTGAGGAAGTCCTCTGAAATCTCTGGGCCTTCATTTCCCCGTTTATCACAAGAAGGAATTAGGCTGGAAAAGCCTCATAAGGTTCTGGATAAGATTGATGTGTCGTCCTTTAACTTGTATATTTGGTTGAACCAAATGAAAATGATGATATTTAGCAATTTTGACCTATAAAAAATGGAAATTTCATGTTTCAACATATCTGGGATGGAGCTGACCCATCAGGCACGACCAGTCCAAGAGGTCCATACAATTCCATCTCACAGTCAGCTTGCTTTATTTTCTCCAACAACTGCATAGTTTTTCTTTATGGCCACAAGCACACCCACTTTTACATCCTTCAGGCTCTGTGATTTCAAAGGGCAATAACCTTTTTTACCTCTAAAATGAAAAATCCTGGAGGACTCAGATTGACACAGCTTGGATTATACCCTCACCTCAGTCAAACGCTGCAGTGAGTACTATTATTCGCTGGAAATAGATCACCTTCCTACCCCAGTGACCAGAGAATAAGAATAGTGTGAATGGTAGCTTTTAGTCCTATAAAGGAGGTGAACAGAATAGATATCCTCTACCTGTTTCTACGTCTCTGGGTGTGTTGTGACTTAAAATATACTTTATTCATTGAAAGGAGACATGATTCACCTAAACCAGATTTGGATTCAAATCTTTGTGGCTTGGGGAATTATTTTCCTCATTTGAATCTATTTTCTGATCTGAAAATTGTATTATAAATACCGTGAAAGGTTATTATGATTATAGGATATCATGTGCACAAAACTTCTTTAAAAAATGTAAAGCACTAAAGAAGTTAAGGACTTTCATTCCATGAGCATTTATTGAGTGCCTACTGTTTTCTTTTTATGAGCTTTCTTAGATGTCGGGAATATAAAGATGAATATAATATTTTTGTAACATCATATAGGATCAGGATAACATCTGTATGTAAATAAGTTCAGTACATCATAACTTTTAAAAAATCTTTATTGTTGAAAATATTACAGATGCCCCCTCCCCCCATCATTGATCTCCTCCTCCCTGTCATTATAACTTTTTAATATTTGACAATTGAGTCAGAGAGTACAGTTTAACAAATGCAGGGATAGTCTATATATTTTAGAATAGAGATATTACCCAAAACTTAAGTGTAAATTAAAAGTTTGCTTTTACACTTCTCTAGTAATTCATAAGGAAGGTCAAGTTAGGTTAAGGGATCTAAGGTTAAGTTAGAATTTCGAATCAAAGATGGTGTTGCCAGAGATGTGGGCTCTGGCTACAAGATTTGTACTTAAAAACAAAAACAAAAACAAAACAGAAGGAATCTAGGCAGTCAGGTGTAGATGCTAGCTCCAAATAATGGGGGCAGGAGGGAGGTGTCTAAGACAAAGTGTTTGAGAGAAGCCAGAAAAGAATTTGTGGCTAATGTGGATAAACAGATCCTGGAAGCAGAAAATGGTGCAGCCATTTTTGTGGGTATAGGTCATTCGAACAACCTGTGATTTGTGAGAATACTTAGTATGAGATATTGTGAACCCATGAGATATATTGGATACCCAGACTAGAGAAGTGGCCTTAGGAAAAAAACAAAAGGGATGAATGTAGAAAACATTAATGAAGTAATAAAAAGACAAGACTTGGCAATTGACCATGAATGAGGTGAGAGGCAGTAGAGAGGTGGGAAGCAAAAGCAATTATCTTTGGGCTGAGAAGAATAAAAATATTCTTCATAGAAATAAGGCAACCTGGCAGTGACACTATTTTAAGGGGAAAGATAATGTGTTTGGCTCTAGATAGTTTGAGTTTGAGGTGAATGTTAAATACTCAAGTGGAAATATCCGAAATATTCCATAGATAATAGGAGATATGAGGCTGAAGTTAATGAGAGAGGTCAAAGCTAGAATTCTAGATTGGAAGTTATCTCTCAGTGATGTAAGCGGAAGCTGGAAGAGTAGATGTGATCGCTAACGGAGGTGCCCCAAAGACTAACTGTAAGGATGTCTTTTCCCTTGACTGGAGGGAGACATTAAATTATTGCTGTGGACTAGTGATCATTTATTGCCTGTCATCTGAAACACAACAAACCAGGGATACTTGGTTTGAATTTCACAGTTAAATTACTTCAATTAAAAAATTTAAATATACAGAGTAAGAATAGTTGAATACTAGAGAATTGCTCCTAACTTGTATTATAAACTAAATCTAGTATCAGGTCCATTACAATATTGTCAGTCAATACTGAACGACTAGGTGGTTTTCACATAATTTTCCCTTAAACTTATTTGAGGTATGTTTTTCCAAGAATAATTTCAAGATCCTATCTGAATTTTCTCAATTTTATAGATTGTTAGACTAATAAAATATGCCTTTTCAAACATAGTGTTAAAGACCTTAGTACACTGTGTGATCCAAAATACCTGTGCTAATGTTTAGCTGTATAAAGAACATTATGCAAATGTTTAACAGAATAAGGAAGTAGGGTATCATTATTAATAATGATTTGTGAATATAATTAGAAATGAGTGATTAGAAAAAATACCACAGTAATAAAGAGTATATTTCAAAAGTAGTACACCGGGGATATGAAAATAAGCCCTTTATATGTCCTTTACATACCAGTAGAACATGCATATGATATTCCTGCTTATGAAAATGATTTAAAATGAAAAGATAGGGATAAAAGAGTCATAATGGTTTCCTAACTCCTCTAAGTACTTTTAATATATTCTATCTATTATACAAATTTAAATAGACTAGTGATCAAATAAAATATATTCCCAGAGGAAGCCTGGAATTTACATAATGGTTTCCCAAATCCTATTTTTCCAGTAACTGCCTCATGCTTTTTGTTTAGTCCCCGTACATGTGTTCTGTCTCAACCCATTAATGAATGGATTCTGGTGTTCAGAGTTGTATGAATGAGTGTTAACAATAGAGAGCATAGATTCTGGAACCAGACAACTTTAAATCCTGGTTCTTCTGCCTCTCAAGCTTTGAAGCCTTGGGCAGTTCACTCAACCTCTCTGAGTTCAGTTTTCTCACCAATAAAATTAACCAGTAGTATGTACTTACTTTATAGGATTGTTGGGAGAATAAAATATAAAGCATCTAGAAGAGTACTTGACATAATGTTTATTATAAAGTGTTGACATAAGAAATGTATTTGATCCATGCAAATACACACACACACAACACATGAGTTAGGTTTGTTGTACGAGATGGTTGGGTCCAGTAAGTACACTGACCAATGCAAACAGGTGGACAGAAAGGTCCAGTAAGTACACTGACCAATGCAAACAGGTGGACAGAAAGAGAATCTTCACTCCAGTATCAGGGAGTTAACTTGGAACTTAGAGCTGGTATAGGTCCTCTGGAGGAAGATAAAATTGAACCTGCGTTTTATTTAACTTCTAAGTTCTACTATTGCTTTATCCTCTTTGATTCTTTGTTCTTGACTGTTTTACTCTTTGTGGTTCAATTAAACAGATGCCAGTACTGTCAGAGAAATACAAAATAGTGCAACAAGGTAAAAACACTAAAAAGGAAATTGCAGAGGCAATTTGAACTAAAGCTAGAGTTCAAATCTTAAATACATTGCCTGCCTGAAATGGAAATGAACTTTCTTTTCTGTACTTTGGCTGATCATGTTGATCAGATCCATAGAAGAATTCAAATTAAGAAGCAAATGAAACCCTAAACATTCCCTTAATATTTAAGAAAATTAAATTTGGATTACATGTAAACAAATTAACAACTGCTGGACAGAGAGAATTGAATAAGTCATCCAATTAATCTAATTCTAATATATACATCCATCTGAAAATTCTATTTTCAATTTCTAAATGTAGTAAACAGGTATTCTATTTTTAAAGTTGAAGTGGAGAAATGACTTAAATTTGACTGAAAAATGCACAGATCTAACAAAAGGAAGAATTTTAAGACTAATTCCTGGGGGAATTGGATTTTTCTTTTGAAAATTTTAAGGTTAGGACTGTTTTCTTGGGATGAGTTATTAGGTACAAACCATCTTAGAATTAAAGATTTTTTAAAAGTATATATATAGCCCTGGCCAGGAAACTCAATTGGTTGGAGTGTCATCCCAATATGCAAAGGTTGCAAGTTTGATCCCCAGACAGAGCACAGAAAAGAATCAACCAATAAATTCGTAAATAAATGGCCAACTAATCAATGTTTCTTTCTCTGTCCACCCCTTCCTCTTTCTCTCTGAAATCAATCAATAAATAAATAAAGGAAAAAAAGAATATGTATGCATGTATATACACATAATCCAAACCCTAAAATGAATTGATGCGATAACTGTGTGACATTACCCTTATTCTACATGTCTTACTCGACCAATCCATTTCAAGTAATTTCTAACTATGTGTGGTAAAGAGGAGGTAAGTAAGGGAGGACAGGGAGCCTATACCAGGGGGTAAAATGATGGTGTATTGAGAAGCATATTTTGCCATTTATAGATATAACTGCCACTTGTCTACATGCTATTCTCCATCAGAGACCACATCAGTATCACAGCAAGTGTAGAGGAAATGAATATGTAGAAAATCCTCACTATCACACTTCAAATCTTTCCCAGGAATGTCTTATCTTTCATTCATTAACACTGCCTTAGGCAAAGAATATCTTTGTATGAACTGCCTACAAATAACAAATCAAATCTTTAACACTTCAAGTTAGCTTTATTTTTCATAAAAGTCTTTATAGCTTCTGGCTTCACTTTCCTTTCAAAGAAAAATACATGAGTTGACTTTATCATTATAGTTAAGAAATTTAAATTCTTTCAGCATATAAGTGATAGGGCAAAGCCCAATAGAGATTAACTTTCACCTGGTACTAGGTTAAGTGAAATAGGTGTTAATAAAAAAAGATTCATCAGAGCTGCTATTACTAGAGTTGTTAGTCAACATCACGAAAAAGTGGGAGGAGTAAAATTCATTAGAAGGTTAATAGTTTTAGAAAGGCAGCTCAAAAGTGGAAATTAGAGGTAATGTAAAATCTGTTAATCAGCAGACTCTAAGAAATTATTTGCTTTATCATTCTGTTAACTAGACTCATATAATGCTAAACCAAGAAGTTGAAATGAGAAAATCCAGCTCATCTACTGGTTATATTAAACAAATATAGCTCTATTTTTATATTGCACAGTTATACCCAAATGATGTCCACATAGTGACTTTTGACATATTATAATCACAGCCTAAATGATATCTGCAAAAAAATTGAAAGTAAAAAATGAGCATTTATTTTCTTTTGATAAATCTGTTTTTGTCTTTATTCACACATTGATGAATATATTATAGTGAATTTCAAATTTTAATAAGGTTTGATCAGTATCAAAGATTATAGTATAGTTGACTAATGTAACATTTTATTAACTGTCTCAGTAGAAAGTGTTTTTGAATTGTGTTTCAAGTCAGGAAGGAATGTATTTCTTAGGTGAATAGTTATTTACTCCAAATACAAACTTTATCAGCATAAGAAAATAAAGAGGGTACTGATGATATAGGCAAGCCATTACCAATATTTATGAAGAATTTCTTTAAAAAATATATTTTTATTGATAATTTGAGAGAGTGGAAGGGAGAGGGAGAGAGAGAGCAAAACATCGACCTGCTGCCTCCTGCATGTCCCTTACTGGGGATCGAGCCTGCAACCTGGGCATGTGCCCTGACTTGGAATCAAACTGGCAACCTTTCTCGAACCAGCAACCTTTCTCGAACTGGCAACCTTTCAGTGCCCAGGATGATGCCAAACCAATTGAGCCGCACCAGCCAGGGCTGAAGAATTACTAAGACAAATGTAACCTATAACAAAATTAAAAGCATGTCATATTCTTTTGAGTAAAAGCCCTTAAAATATGGTTTATACCTACAGTAGGTGGTAATAATATCACTATATCTACAATACTACATATTTTAATAAAAACCCAATTTATAAGGTCAGTAATTTTTATTTTTTGTTTTAGCACATGAAAAATAGAAAGTGTTTTTCTACGTGGCAAATAAACTCATAAGAAAACTCTTGAGTATCTTCTCTGCAGCCCCAATTTCAAGTCAATAGATTAAATGTCCACATTGTTTGCAACTAAGTCACAGCTGTCTAAATTGCTTCAGAAATGTTCAGCAGATTGCTTTATAGCAGGATAACACTGTTTGAACCATGGTTTCTTGAATACATCTTGCTGAGAGCTTATCTCATTCAAGTGATGAAGGCAGCTGAAGCATGGTGTTTGAATCATCCACATTTTGCTCTAATAAAGAAGAACTTTAGGAAGCTGTAGTTGTTACAGGCAACACAGTAAAGCAATTGAAATGTGAATCTCATATTTTACACCATTCAAACTGCTTGCATATGTATGTGTGTGGTGATAAGATACTTTAAAAATAAAATTTCATTTGGTGAAAGGCTTACAGTAAAACTGTAAAAGCAATACACAGATCATGTGAATTACCAGCATATAAAAATAAATATGCAAATGACTGTAATACTTGTTTCCAAAATAGTATCTTTAATAAGAAACCCTTCATAAGAATCTTTATAAAGTGACATAGTTTAAAGTTGTTATCAGTGCTTATAACTAGCTGTTATTTTTAATTAGAACTTACACATCTTTTCAGCCATACCTTAATAAGCTATATGTATGAACATGATAAATGGTTACATGTATGCTTTAATTATAAATTAAAAAATTATCAAGCAAGTTCTCATCAAGTACTTTCTACTCATAATAAGCTTTACATATATACTAGATTCTGTGAAGATTATAGAAGTCTGATATACTATTTTATTTTCACTCAAGAAGTAAATAATTATAAAAGGTCAACTTTGTAATTGATCAGTTTAGAGAATCTAAATTAGCTATTACAGAAGAATTCTATCAATGGCAAATTTGAGAAGAGGGCTTATCTAAATATCCAGCTTGGAATGTATGTTCCAGTTATCTATTGCCATGAATACCTATTGCTCTCCAACCCTTAAAACAAACAAACCATTTTATTGTGCTTATACACAGTATGGTTTGGGAATTTGGATGGGGGCATATATGGGGTTGTTTGTTGTTTTCCATGAGGTCTGTGGCCTCAAATAGGATGATTCCAACAGCTGGTGACTTGAATGAATGGGGCCTGGAATCGCTGGGATTGGAATATTTACCAAGATTGTGTCTTCACTCGCCTGTCTGGTGCCTGGGCTGGGATGAACTGAAGGCTAGCTGGTACTATTGACAAGAACACCAACATACAGCCTTTCGGTGAGGCTTTGGCTTCTCACAGAATGGTGGCGGGATTTCAGAAAGCTCCAGCTGAGAGGGACTATTCGAAGAGAGCAATCATTTTAGTGTGGGAAAGCTTGCTAGGAGTGTCAAAGAACTTAGTCTTTTTTTCTTAACTGATAACAATGAATATATTTATTCAAGGCCCTAGAGAATGTGGTGGTTACAGATTGGAAGCTTATATTTTAAAGCCTGAGAAGCAGAACACTTTGGTGATTGCAAAAATCATTGACCTATAAAGATATGTGATAGATACTGTGAACTGTCCATCAAAATCTACCCTGTCCCTCTTCTTCACTAAAAGAGTTGTGGCTAGGCTCGACTAGTCAAAGAGCACATTTCTCAGCCTCATTTGAATTTAGATGTGGTCAGATGATGACATTCTCACAACAGAATTGGGGCAGAATATGTGTGTTAACTTTGAGTCTGGGCCTTAACACGTAGGACTTATGAACCCCAGGCTCTTTTTCACTTCCCACAAAATAGATCTTGGAGTTCTCTGACCCAGCTTCAATCATGCAGTTAAGAATGACACCATCACCCTGGCTGGTTTGGCTCAGCAGTTAGAGCGTTGGCCTGCGGTCCGCAGAGACCCGGGTTTGGTTGCCGCTAAGGGTACGTACGTACCTCGGTTGCAGTTTGTCCCCGGCCCTGGTTGGTCGTGCGGGTGGCAGCCACTCGATGTGTCCCTTTCACGTCGATGTTTCTCTCTCTCTCTCTTCCTCTCTCTCCCTCCCACTCTATCTGAACAAAAAAAAAAAAGAATGACACCATCGTGGATGGTAGACCAGTAAGATAAAAGAACGTGGGTCCCTAGATGACCTCATGGAGCAGAGCCAGTCTAATCACTGGGATTGCTAACCTTGTGCAAACCTTGTGAGGAGTAACACATTTGTGTTCTTTAAACCATACTGTTTGGTGTCTGTTTTAAAAAAAAGTTTAGCTTCACCCTAATTCAGATGGTAAATATGCATTACTGAATAACAGCTGGGAGCTTAAGAAATGATAGAAGGAAAAGCCACCTCCCTGTTGTTCCAAATGCATTAAAATGCTTGGTATGGTATGGCCAATATTGAATTCTGTGTACCTACTGATATGTGTGTGTGTGTGTGTGTGTGTGTGTGTGTATGTCATTTTACAGTTGTAGAAGAGCTTTCCTCTAGAGCAGCAGTTCACAACCTGTGGGTCGCGACCCTTTGGGGGTCGAATGACCCTTTCACAGGAGTTTCCAATGGTCTTAGGCACCGAGACATCGCTCCTCTATCCGTCACCAGGCAAGTCCGCCCACGTGCAGATACACCCATATACACGAGGAACTGTATTAAAGAGTCGCAGCATAGGAAATATGAGAACCACTGCTCTAGAGGAAGCACTAGTAGCAAAATATTCATGTTTTACATAAAATTTTTCATATCTATATTCCTTTTCCATATTGACAAGAATAGCCAACATTTCTCATGTACCACACCAATGTTTCACTTGAAAAGCCCAGCAGCTTGTAATTATTTTGGCATGGTAGTAGATCCTAAACTCTGGAAACAAAGAGATCACACTCCGATATTTACATGCACAGAAACTGTACTAATCCAGAATCATTAGAGGCAGCCATATAAGTTAGAACAGCAGTTCTCAAGGTGGGGTTCAGAGAATCTGCAAAGTCAGACCTATTTTCATAATAATATTAAGATGTCACTTGCTTTTCCTCTCTTATTCTCCAGAGGCTGTGAGACATGGGATGAGGTCATCACTCTGTTGGCTAATAAAATGAGCTTGAATATTCTTGTGTTTTAAAAATTCTTCAGTTTTAACTTCTAATACAGTAAACATCAGAAGATATAACTTATATAACCAAAAACTCTTTGGAGTTTTAAATATTTTTTTAAGAGTATCAAGGGGTAATGAGGGTTAGAATAAAAAGTTTAACTTCTCAATGGTGGTTAAAATATACTTCCTTTTTCATTACTTCAAATACATAAAATTCAAAATATTATCATTCACTTGGTTATGTACTAAGCTTGAAAAATGGTGTTTTCTGGTGTCCCTTTCAGAACATGTACATTTTGAGGAGAAATTTCCAAACCATCTTATTTGGAATAACAGTTGAGAGTCCGAAGAATCTAAGTATGGTTAAACTGTAACAGCCTGGGAAAGGAGCGGGATTTCTTGTTAATCTACTAATGGGGGGGGGGGGGGGGGGAGAGGTAGTCTCAGATTCAAGACAAAAGGCATCACATCCTATAGTGTCACCTCTGTTAAGTCTTTGGTACCAAGTTAATGAATTCATAAATTCTGGAGGAGAGTGGTACTGGGGTAACTGGTCATGAGTTGAGCAGAACCAAGGGACACAGGCAGTGGGGAACTGTTTGTGGAGGGAGAGAAAAGGAGGCAAGCATGTGTAAAGAACCCATTGGAGAAACTGAAAAGCTGGATTAGGGAAACAGAGGCTCTTGACTTTAGAGGCCACAAAAGTGGGCATTTAAGGCTAGCTAACCTAATTTTCTGAGGGACAGTTATCCTAAAATATTTCTGGAATACATATAGTACCACACCCACAGACAACATCTGCTCTTAAGAGATATCCTACTAGGCCACATAAGATTTATGTAACCTTGTTAGTGGCTTTAAGTCTAGTGGGAGAACAAGACTGTGTTCAAGACTACACAAGGAAACGTAAGTGTCCAAACAGACTTATCAACAAAATGCCTTGGAAGGTTCATACTGGGTTTACTATATACTTATTGTTTATAATTTGTATATTTGTAGTGTTACAATCTTTTAGGAATCACAAGTAGATTGACATAGAGGGAGTCATTGAATGGAGACAGCACTAATTAAATTGTATTGCTGGTCCTATCTGCTTCTACCCGATAGCCACTCTTTCTATGATTCTCACTTTGGCTGAATGGCTTAGTTAGAGCCCTTTGCTTGAGAACACACACACACACACACACACACACACACACACACACACACACCGATTTGCTTAAGCAAAAAAGACATTAGGGGAACACAGGGAACCTAGAAAGAAACAGAGTATAGAGCAGCTGAACTTCCCACAGGCTGAAACCAGTAAATGATAAGACATCAGGAACCAACTCTGCTACATTTCTTCCACTACCCTGGTGCCACATTGTCTCTCACCTTTGCTTCTCTTTGCACATCAGTACACCCTCTTATCTTTTAAATCTTATCTTTTCCAGTTTCAGGATCCTAAAGTACTATCTTTTTTTTTTTTTCCTGACCTGGAAAACTGAAATGACCTTCTAATATTCTCTCACCCCCAATCTAATCTTGATTACTTCTAATCTGTTGTTTTGTTCACCATGACCAGATTCATTTTTTAAAAATGGAAAATTTATTTCACAGTTTTTCTTTGTCCCTAGGATAAACATCAAATTCTTAAACATGGTGTGGAAATGGATGATTATACCTCCATTCAGTGCCCTTTTTGGTTTCCTTCTCTGTTGAAGGATTACATAGCCCTGCCCCTTGTTGCTTTCAGGCATGGCAAAGGTCTGGCTGATGAAAATGGAAAGAAATGTAAGCACTTGCTTTAAGAACCAGTGGGTGACTTACCACTTTTCTTTTCCTTCTGCCATGACAATGGCAATATTCCAGATAGAGACTGCTCTGTCAGCCTGAGTCCAGTGTGCAGATGACATGGAGTAGAGTCAAGGTGGGCATGTTGCATGAGAGATAAGTAAATCTTACCGTGGGCCACTGAGATTTTTTTGAATCACTTGTTACTGATCATAACCTATCCTATCCTGATACACATTGTTTATAAGCTCTTGCTTATTGCTCCATCTCTTTGCTATAGCCCCACTAGCCTTTCAGTACTTATACAAGATGCTCCCTCCCGTCTTAGATCATTTATCTATGTTATTCTCTCCCCTTGGAAAGTCTTTGACACCTGTTTTTGCTCAGTTAATATTTACTCACCAATGAGATTTCAACTTAACTGTGAAGTACTCAGGAAAGGATAGCCTGATCTGTGTTCAAAGTATCCTGAATTCACCTTCTGTCATTATGTCTCTTTAAACTATAAATTCCATGAAGGCAGAGACCACGCATCCCTTGGTCAGCACTGTATTTCTAGTAACAGAAAGAACTTTTTTACTTTTCAAAGAGTTGTTTTTTCTGCATCTTTGTAAATATGGAAGAAAATGGCCATTCTAGCCCCAGAACCATAACACCTCCCACTCCAGGGCCACCGACTGATCAGCATTCCAGTGTTCTATTTCCAGACTCTTAGAAACAGAACCTGATTGGGTTCGTGTTCTCTCATGGTCCACTCAGTGGTTACTGAAAGATCTGTCAATCAGAATCAACATGGCTACAAAGACGTGTCCTCTGGGAATAGGGGAAATTCTCAGTCAAGGGGATGTGGTCTGAGAAATCTCAGAAAGTATCTGCTACAGTCACTACAAATGACTCTACTCTTCTGTACTTTTTAAAAATATTCTCAAAATTATCCTCATAGAGCACTCAAGGGGACAATCCCTACAAGGGATTTCTTAAGAAAAGAGTGGTGATCAAGTAGTTCTAACTCTGTCCCTCTGAGTTTGGCCTCTCCTTTGGTAGTGATGGACTTTGATCACCACTGCCACTTCACTGTAATCCCTTGGGTGTAGAGGTTTACTCTTCTTTTTACACTATCTTAAAAAAACAAACAAACAAACAAACAAAAACAGACAAAAATCTCTTCGATTCTCCAAAAAGCTTTTGGGATAAGCTAGAAATAAAAAAAAAAAAAAAAAAAAAAAAAAGTACTACCCTGGCCAGGTGGCTCAGTTGGATGGAGCATCATCCTATACATCAAAAGGCTGCAGGTTCAATTCCTGGTCAAGGAACATACCTGGGTTTCAGGTTCAATCTCTAGTCGGGATGAGTATGGGAGGCAAAGATCAATGTTTCTCTTTCATATCAATGTTTCTCTCTCTCTCTCTTTTCCCCTCTCTCTAAAATCAATAAACATATTCTCAGATGAGGATAAAAATCAACACTTTACTAATATTAAGGAAGAAAAAAAGGGATATAAAAAAATGCATGGTGCCCTGGCCGGTTTGGCTCAGCGGTTAGAGAGTCGGCCTGCGGTCCAGGGAGACCCAGGTTCGGTTCCCGCTAATGGCACCTACCTCGGTTGCGGTTTGTCCCTCGCCCTGGTTGGGCTATGCGGGTGGCAGCCACTCGATGTGTCCCTTTCACGTCGATGTTTCTCTTTCTCTCTCTCTCCCTCCCACTCTATCTGTACAAAAAATTGAAAAATGTCCTCAGGTGAGAATTAAAAAAAAAAAATGCATGGCAATAAAAGAGTGTGACTCACAAAGTAAAGTTTTTTGACCCTTTCTCCAGCTATACAGATCTTTTCTTTCATTTTTTAAATTAAAAAAAAAAATTTTTTTTTAATCCTTACCCAAGGATATTTTTCATTTATTTTCAGATAGGGTGGGAGGGGGAGAATGAGGGAGAAACATCAATGTGAGAGAGACACATCGGTTGGTTGCCTCCCGCACCACCCAGACCAGGGCCGGGGACTAAACTGCAACTGAGGTACGTGCCCTTGACCAGAAGCGAACCTGCAAGTCTGGATGAGTGCTGACACTAACTGGTGAGCCAAATTGGCCAGGGCTTTTTTCATTTTAAAAAGCAAAATAGAAGATAACACTTTCTATCTAATTTTTGTTAATTGAAACTATTTCTATATGTTGATTTCTAATTTTTAAAGACCTATAAAATATCTATTAAAAATGTTTAAAAGATTTCTGCATAGTGATACAATCCAGATATATTTGAGGTCTTTAGCTTTTTATATGTACATGCATAAAAAAAAACCTTTCATCTTTTTTTATTGGTAATATAAATTAGAACACAACTTCAGGTGATCTATACTTGGGTTTCCCTAAAAGTATTTGCAAATAGGGACTGAATATAAGTCATCTGAATCAACATGATATGGATTTCCATGAAACCTTTCTCAAGTGTGCTTCATTCTGATAAGTATGTTACACGTACTATTACTTCCCCCACCCTGCCCCTGAACGAAGACTGTAAGATGGGTAGTAGCTTTTAGTTTAAATTAAACTAATTTATTGTTTAAACCATTATATTATTTTTCTCTATTTATAATAATTAGTTCGAAAATTCCATGGTGCTAAAAATGTGTTTTCTGTCTTTTATCTAAATTTATTTTTAAAAGGAATGCTCACTGACTGTATTTCTAGGTCCTTACACAGGTAATTTTAAATTCCATCATTGTTAAGTGCCTACTATGTGAGTGTCCGCCATCAAATCCATTCTGGAATAAGGCAAGGCAAAAATAAACAAAATACATCTGCATGCATTTAATGCTACTGAATTGTACACTTACAATTGTAAAGATGGTAAGTTTTGTTATGCATATTTAATCAAACAGAAATTATTTATGTATATATATCTGAATGCAGTGTTCCCCCTAACATTTCATGCCTACCATTTAAAACTGCATTACAGTGGTTTGGACAAAAGTGTTTCTCTAACAGACTCAATCACTTCAAGGAGAAGAACTCTTTTTTAATCCTCGTTGTTAACTCCAGGGCCTAGAACACTCTGTCTGGCTTTTGTTACCAGGGAGAACATTTGTAATCTGGCTTTTCCAAGTGTTGTCATTTCATATATTTTAATTACTGTCTTCAACCAAGGCAATGCATTAAACATATAAGTAGCTGTAAAATTTTTTAAATACACACCAGAAAAATTCTTTATCACACATCATGAGTTGGAGTTCAGAAAATGTGGTCACAGAACTCTAGACCTTCAACAAATGTTTGTCAAATTCATGCATGATACTTGAGAAGACAAAAAGATAAACATTTAATGCCAGCATCAGTCCAACAGATCTTACACAGTGTAAGACAAGTACATCATGGTACACATAATTCTTAAGAAGTATGCCAACCAAGCCATTATTGAAGAGGCTATCAAACTAATAATCCCCACCCCTTTCTCCAAGTAGCTTTTAACAAGGCCATTGTATTTCGGCCTCAAATAATCTAAAGTAGGCAGTTGCCTAGAATATCCATTCACTGCTCAGACAAAACAAAAGCTACCTTTTGGCCACATTCCTGAATACTATACAGTCACTTTTTAAACCCATATTTACATATTTAGCTATGTTACTAATAGGTTAGCTTGGATGTTTACTACACCAAGGAGAGTTGGCTTTTTTCCATTCGTGGGGTTTATCCCGCCCCACCTCCTTCAGTTGAAATTCAGTTAAAACAATTCAAGAAGCCAGCTAACTAAATTCTAAACTCTGTTCCACAGACAAAACCATAGTTCAGCGCTCAGGAAAAGGTCTCTCTCAACGACTGGGCGTTAAAAATCGCCAAACGCTTACATTTCTTAAAAAGTACAGACCACACCCCAGCTGAGCCCTGTGCACCTTACTGGCCCGAAAGGCGCGCTGTGGGTGGGAGGGAGCAAAAGGCAAGATGAATAGCCCGGGTGGATGGGGGAGCGGGGGAATAATCTATAAAGTTCGAGTTCGGAAACCCTTTGTATTGTGGAGGTTAGAAAGGGGACCGTTGACGTTAAGCCTGAACTTCAGCAGGAAAAGAGAAAGTGGCCTGGGGGAATAAAGCAAACAAAACACAGCCAGTAGGTTTCCAAGACGAGCGTTCGCAGTGGGGGCCGCTGAACCCAGCAGGAGGACGGGCGTGTGTGTTCCTTCCTCCTCCCGCCTCCCGAGACGCGAGCCCAGCTCTTTCCCCTCATTTTCACCCCGTCGGGGTCCAATGGCCGCCCCCACCTCGGAGCCGGGTCGGAAGCCGCTCCGCCCCACTCGGGGTCCCCTCCGCCCCACCTTTCCCGCCCGGCGGGAGGCACCGACCCGGCCGTCACGTGTCCTAGCAGCCGCCAAGTGAGGCCGCTTTTGCGACGCAGTGACAGCTAAATGGTGCGACAGGAGGAGCTTGCAGCCGCGGCCGCTGCGCCCCGCACCGAGAGGCTTGAGGCGGCTCCAGGCGTCGCCCTGAGGGAGCGACTGAGCGGACGGAGCCGGGCGCAGGAGGGCGGCGGCGGCGGCGGGCGGGCGGCGAGGGGGAGCCCGCTATGAGTGCCCTCGCTCCCCGCCGCTTTCCATGAACCGGGCGAAATAAGCCGCGCCTCCAGCAGGGGCTGCGCCTCCATGAATCCCTAGGTTTTTTTTTTTTTTTTTTTTTCCTTTCTCTCCCCGCTCCTCACCCCCTCCCCGGGTCCCGTCCCGCCTTCTCCCTGCGCGAGCGGCGGTCGCGTCCAGGTGCGGAGTCCAGAGCGCAGTGCAATGGCGTCCAACCCCGAACGGGAGATTCTGCTCACGGAGTTCCAGGTAAGGGCCGCGGCCCGGTGCACCGCGCTGGCGGAGCGAGAGGGGGCTCCGCCGCGGGCTCGGGGCCGATGGGAGCCCCGCGCCGCCGCGCCCCTAGCCCGCTAAGTGCGGAAACTTGGGGATGTCACTCGGGAGCCGCTTCCTTCGGGAGCCGGACCCTGCCCAGCCCAGAGTCCTGGTTTGCCACCGCTTTCATGACCTACCAGAGGGACCCCGTCTCTGCCTGCAGCCGGAGCCTGCTCGCTCCCGGTCCCCGGAGCGGCCAGCTCAGCGCCCCTCCCCGGTGTCAGAGCCGCGGGCTGCCGCCCCCGCCGCCCCCTCCCTGCGCGGCGGCCCCGCCCCGCCGTTCGCTGGTACTCGCCGCTCTCCCTGCTTTGAATGACTCCCAAGCTGCTCTCTCGTCCCTCCTCTTCCCTCCGACTTCGCACAAAGAGCGCCCCCATAACTTCCAGCCCCCGGACAAGTTGTGTGTGTGTGTGTTTCTTTTGAACGTATCTCACGAAATGCTGGCTTTAATTCACCAGCCCACTTCAGGTGACTGTGTTTCTTTCCTCTAATGGGAGGGCTGCGTTTTTTTTTTTTTTTCTTTTTTACGCAGTGCTATCTGTGGACCCCCTTCTGAGCTACTCCGTGCTCAGTTTCGGAAGCTTGCAGGCTGATGCTTTTCAGACTTTCATTTTCCCTCCCGTTGGAACAGCAGAGAAAAAGCTACAGAAGTTGTTTACAAATGAGAAAGCAGTCGACTAAGGGGAAATGCTAGGCACCACATGCCTGCAGGAGATGAGAACAAATTGAGTCCCTTAATTACTTAGCCCATGTCGAGTAGCGATATTATTGTTTCCCTTTTACAGCTAAATATTTGATGATGCAGGCACGATTTTGTTTTTCGGTGTCTATGATGTACAGGGGTACCTATGCTACCCTGTTGGGTTTATTTTTCATTACTTGGGAGTTTTCCAGAGATGTTTACCTCTGGATTAAAATGTCATGCCTATTTTTTGACTTAAACTTATTTTTATTTGTTTTAATGTAGTTGTCTTCTATAAAAGAAGAAAAAATGTATACTTATATTTCTTTAGTGCATTGGGCAGTTAAATTTTTTTTTAAGGACTGAGTTTAGTCACTGCAGAATTGATTCTTGATGTTATCTAAATTAACTATTGCAACTGCTTCTAATTTTTTTGCCTTTCAAATATATTTATCGCTAAATCTCTGCACAAGCTTGGTTTTTTGTGCAGGGTGTAAGCTTAAAAGTTTTGTTATAATACTTGACATTTCCTCCACAAAAATAGAGATTTCAGCAAGGTATAATAATGAACTGTTGCAAATTTGGAATCCTTTGGAAGTGCAAAGCTGAATATATCATTGAACATGTTGCTATATAATATTTTAATTACTCTTAGCTTTTTATAAGGACGACTTAAGCATACCACTTGCTAAATGAGTGGAATTTATTGTTTTATTAATTTACATGAACTTTTAAAATGAAGTTTGTTTGAGGCACAATCGGAAATGCATTCCATTGCCTAGTCTTGAAATATGACTAGATTCCAGTTCAGAAAAGGTCATGAAAATGACAGGAACATTTTTCTTTGAATGGAGTGGCTTCAGAATTATAAAGTATTTGGCATCCTTATTTTTATTTTATAGAAAGTTGGCAAAGTAGACACTTATTTTGATACTGGACCTGAAAACATTTTCATGTGTATTGAAATATATAACATTTGGGGACTTTTAATGAGATCAGTTCTGAAAATAACAAGGAAGCAAGTTAGAGAAATAAGAAATTTTTAATATGACTATTTAAAACATAGGACCAAAGTAAGGAAACATCTAAGGTTAGACTTTTAAATAAACTAAAATGTAACCCCTCCAGAAAAAAGAATAGGTTTTATTAAGTGTTACCTTATAGCTGTCATATATATCCAGCACATTTTTTTAGTGTATTGGACTCCCATTTCCAGTGCATTTGAACTTGATCATATTTATTAAAATAATTGAGAATTTATTTATATCAGTAAATGGTGATAAAATTTACTGATAAGTAAGATAAATGGTGATAAAATTTGTCTCACCAAGCATATTCATTTATTCAAACATTTTATTATTTCATTGGGTCAAGAAACTGGTATAGAGTAGCTAAATGTTTATCAAACTTGCTGGTAGATCCAGTTTTTTTTTAAAGCTTGTAAGTTTGAATTTACATTAAAAAGTTATTTAGTATGATGTTTGTAATACTTCTCTGTTAAACTATATTGAGTATTTAAATAGTAATTTATGTTCCAAGTTTTTTGTTTTGTTTTTGTTTTTTTTATTCTTCACCTGAAGATATTTTTCCATTTATCATCAAACAGAGTGAGAGGGAGGGAGAGAGTGACAGAGAGAAACATGGATGTGATGGAGCCACATCGACTGTTGCCTCCCACACCACCCGACCAGGACTGGGACAGACCGCAACCAAGGTACCTGCCCTTGGCTGGAATTGAACTCAGGATTCATTGGTCCACAGGCTGACGCTCTAACCGCTGAGCCAAGCCAGCCAAGGCTATGTTCCAAGTTTTAAGACTTATGTTTAGTAGTTAAAAACTTACTTTGCCACATCTTGTCTCAGGAATACTTGTTTCACTCTGAAAGTTACATGTTGCCTACTTTTAAAGAAATTGATATTTATTTAGAAACATTATATACCCAACATTTTAAAATTATTTTTCAAATTATATTGCAGCATTTGAAATACTTTGCTATTTGACCTGGAGTTGGATTATCATAACCTTTGGTTGTGGAAAGACAAAACAAAGAAAGTATAAAACCACAGTACTTTGTCTTGTTAATTACTATAATATTTCTACAGAGTAATGTTTAAAGTACACATAAATTTTGTTGGCTAGAAACTTCAAAGTGTAAGGAACAATATTTATTTGCTATAGTAAAAAATAAATTAGGCTATTTAAAAATATAAAATTAATTGACAATTTATAATTTTTATTTTTTATAGCAAACTTCTGTGTTCTCTCTCTCTCTCTTGTTTAAATTTGAAATGTAGTGGGAAACTTAATGCAATAGTTTGTGAGGCCAAAGAAATTAAAGTTTATTTTCAAGGAAACTGGATTAATGAAACTATAAAGAATCTTAAAATGAAACTGTTGGCAAATTTTATAGAATGCAGAACCACATATTGAGTAACATACTAATAAAGTTACCTCGTCAGTGAATGGAGATTCATCTTTATCAAAATGTCTGATTAAGTGCTGGGAATCTGAAATTCCATTCTCAGCAGAGTTTATTTAGGTAGAGGTGATTTGTTCAAGTGGAGTTTGTCAGCCTTAAATTATAGGGATTCATTACAAGAAACATTTATTGAGTACCTATCAAAGCTATATTGAAAGATTATAGATGACAAGATATGGTTTTCACTTTCTAGAAGAGAGTACAAATAACATTTATTGATTATTTACTGTATGTCAGACATTGTAGTTGGTACCCTGTATACCTTATTTACTTTACAGTAGTTCAGTTAGGTGGGTGGGTGCTACTTCCATTTTACAGATCAAGAAATTAAGTTCAGGGATGTTCAGTAAATTGTTTATGGTCACGCTATAAGTCTGAGTTTGAATGCAGATCTATATGTTTACCCACTACACTATTCTTGGCTGCCACAGTTCTGTGGACCCATAAATGTCTTGCATTTCACTGTGTAAACTTTCTAAAAATTGGCCGAAAACTTAACAAGAGTTAACTTTAATATAAACTTCATACTAGTTAGGCTCCTTTATAACAAGGAAAAATGATTTTCACATTCCTCCTATTTGGTAGTCTATAATTTAGCAGTGCTTTATTATTGTGAATAAGGTGTGATATTCTGCAAAGAATAACGGTACCAATAACTTCTGCGAGTTTTCTTCATTTAAAAATTACTGTTTCTGATGTAAGTTGTTAAATGTTTGCCAAAAACCTTCTAAAGATTTTACATTTCTCTGCAGACTATCCATAAAATAAACTTTGCTTTAAAAATTTAAGCTTATGACCCTGGCCGATTTGGCTCAACAGTTAGAGCCTTGGCCTGTGGACTAAAGAGTCATGGGTTCAATTCCTATGAAGGGCACGTGCCTTGGTTGTGGCTCGGTCCCCAGCCCCGGTCGGGGTCATGCATGAGGCAACCAATCGATGTTTCTCTCTTTCTCTCTCTTTCTCCTCCTCCCACTCTATCTGAAGATAAATGGAAAAATATCCTCAAGTGAGGATTTAAAAAATATTTAAGCTTATGCATAGCCCAACTATGTGTTTGGCACTTTGTAGTTATTTAATACATTGATGAGAAAAAAGGCTCCATTTTTTACCTAGGATGAGAAATGTCTTGACTGTTCTAAGAGAAGTTGATTATAATCATTGAAATAAGAAATTATTTTGCTTTCTGTAATTTACATTTCTAATCTCTTATCTTAAAAATATGTCCTTGACAAGTTCAAAAGGGATTTCTGCACTAGTTATATTACATATACATATAGCACATTGCTATTTTATTCATTTGATGAGAAATTAGGAGGTGGTATCTAATTTTGCAGTGATATTGGAAAGGGGGAGGTCTCTGTGTTGGGAGGATTAAAATTTTAGGGTGGGTTGGAAGAATGTAGTATGATAAAATAGGCAGGATGGTTACAAGATTTTACAATTTTTTCGAGTTATACATGTTCATTGTAGAAAATGTAGCAAAGCACAAAAGAAAAGAAAATGTTCTCATAGTTCTCAGAGATAACTGACAAACTTTTCCAACATATAAGCCCCATGGGATTTAAGTCTGTTTCCTCTTTTCCTCCCCTTTTTATTGAGATATATTTAATATACAACATTGTGTAATTTTAAGATGTTCAACGTATTGATTTGATAGTTTTCATCCCTTTATCTCATTTTACTTACTAGAATTTTTAAAGAGAAATTAGATTCATTGAGTTTTAATATTGAAATTGCTGTAGGTTGAAAAAAAATGCCACTAGTTCTTAATATGCAGATCTAACTAGCTTTAATGATTTTTTTTTATCTCAAAATATTTTGATTTTGAGTCATTATTTTGAGATAGTTGAAAAGTAAGTGGTGAGTACAGTATGGCCTTAATAATAGGCAATGATACATAGCATCAACTCTAACAATAAATCAATACAATGTGGTTTTCAGCTTAGATTTGATTATTGGTACTTTTAAAGAAATCTGCATACTTTATTGAATAAGGCATATCTTTAAATGCCAACTTTTTATTGACTATGTGGGTAAACATCTCTGCTG